ATAAAAAAATATGAATAAAACATCAACTAAAAGACAAAATAACGTAAACTTTCACTTTCCTATTTTCCTAGCTCTTTCTTTTTTCTCCTCTCCTTTTAAACGATTTTGTCGCTCTCTTAATTTTTCGTTTATGAAAAGGCCTCCCCTTCGAATTTCTTCCTTATGTATTTATATGGGTTACTTAAAGTTTATACAAAATGTAAAAAATTTGAGTTTTTTTTTTTTTCATGCTTAAATCAATTTTTGATGCTGGGTATGAGCCTGCATAGCACAAGACTTTCATTTCTGAAATCAAATTCTTTTTTCAAAATTTTTTTATTTTTTGTAAAATAATTTTTTTTTTATTATTTTATTTTAAAAATTTTGGAGGCAATCTGAAGAAGAAAAAAATTGATATTCACAATATTTATTTTTTTAATAATAAATATTGTACTTATACAATATAATATATTAATTTTTTAAATAAAAATAAAAATATAGTATGTTGTATCAAAGATACTTATTTTTTATTAAACAAATGAATGAAATGGATATAAGAAATTCTTGAAGCAAATATCTTTGGTAATGAAAACTTGAAAAATAGAAAGAAAAACCCTAAAGATGAAAAACCCTTGAAACCCCACGGTCATCTTCAAATGGGTACAAAAGAACGTAACGAATTTTTTCGTCAAGGATTGATTGAACTAATAAAATCAGAATGGGTAGGTTAATAACAGGGATGTTTTATGCTGAGAGAAGCATTGATGTGATGTGAGGGTCTTGTGCAGAGGAGGGTGTCGGTGTTGTAAATGGAGGTGCTGTTGAGAAGAGACGACACCGTTTTGGCAAAATAACCTTCAAAATAACGTTAACATATATAAATGTTTAAAAGCTTGCACTCTATTCCTCCAAGTCTTTGAACTGCAAGCATGAAGCTACGGTGGAGATTGGTGTCCAACGAAGTCAGAAAAGGTTGTCTTTTAATGCAGCTTTTATTGTTAGAAATTCTACAATACATTCAACTTGGTAAAAGATAAATTATTATTAGTTACATTATTATTATAAAAAAATAAATCTAAGTTAAATTTGTTATCATAAAAAAAAATTAAATTGAACTTATTATTATTATTATAAAAAAAAGATAAATTATTTGCTTAATTATTAAGTAAAAAGACTTTCTTCAAACTTTATAAATAAGTAATACTGTGAAATATAAAATTTTATAAAAAACAATTTATTATTTAATATGTTGTAAGAGTTTGTTTTAAAAAAAAATCAAACGAATTTTTTTTATAGTTATTTAAGTTACTTAATATATTGTATAAGTTTGTTTTAAAAAAAATTTAAATAATTTTTTTATTATTGTTTAAGTGTGTAATTAACTATTAACGGAACTAAAGTCTTTTGAATATTTGTTTTCCTAATAGAAAATTATTTTTTAAATATTTATGTTTATTATAGCAACCTTATTTTAATTGCCAACAATTCTGTTTATTTGAAGAATTTTTTCTATTTTATCTCACTATTTTTTAATAAATAAAAAATTTAATACAATATTTATTTTTTATTATTAAAAATAAATATTAAAACATAACAAAAATAAAGTTAAAGAGAAAATACGTTTGTTCGTAAATTTTATTTTGAAAAATTATTTTTCTTTTCTTCTATTTTAGAGGGAAAAAAAAAAAAAAAACGTACACTTTGTTGGGTGATACTACGCTTGTGCCTCGCATAAGGCTTCAGCCTTCAGGCCTATTAAGTCACTGTGGTCTGGTTACTTTTCAAAAAGAAGTGAGAGGATTGATTCACAATTACTGGGGAGGGCAAGATGTTCAATTGTTCATCATTCAAAATACGACTGTTGAGAAGGCTTCCAATCAAATCAAATATAAGGGCATTTTAGCTTGTAATAATAATGTTTTTGCAATCGCGGATTATAACGGACGACAAAACAGGATAAGAAAAAACATTTTTTTATGAATAAAAATACATTTAAAAAATTAAAAAATTTACTATTAAAATTTATTAAAAATATTTTTTAAATTTTTTAGAATATTATAATTTAAAAAAATAATATAAAATTCATTTATACGTAAAAAACATATTAACACTCTATAACGACTGTTTAAATAATAATTATTTTTAAATTATTTATTAAAAATATTTTTAAATTTTTTTAGAATATTATAATTTAAAAAAATAATATAAAATTCATTTATACATAGAAAATATATTAACACTCTATAACGACTATTTAAATAATAATTATTTTAAATTAAATATATAAATTTATTTTAATTTAAAAATAAATTTAATGCTTAAATAATAAGTGTTGTTACTTTTATTTTTAAAAGAATTTTTTTTATTAAAATATTGATTAGTGTCTTAAAAAAGAAAAAAATATTATTTTAAAAATTGTTTTTACTTAATGTTTCTGATTCCTACATAAATTCCTTCTAATTTATTGGATAATCAAAAATAAAATAAATTAAATATTAATATTATAAAAAATTGTATAATAAAATAAAGAAATAAAATTAAATAATTAAGAGTATATTTGATTTCTGTTTTAAAAATATTTTTTTATTTTTAAAAATAAAATATAGTACAAACACGCTTTAAGTATTTAGCATTTAATTCATCAAAGTTAGAAATATGACTTAAAAAAATTTAAAATAGATGAAATGAATAAATACATTTGAATTGATTAATGAAAATATTTATTTAATAAAAAAATTAAAATATTTTTTTATAAGTTTATATTGCATAAAATCTAAAGTAATGTTGATACACAAGAATTTCAAAGATTTAAAGCGTATAAAGACAGAAACGTTATATAATAACACAACAAATCGCTGCACTAATACGATGAAAATATTTTAACTTAATTAATTAATAAGTATATAAATGAATTACATTTTATAATAGAAAAATATTTGAGAATGTATGTTTTTAATTAATCATGAAAATAAATTGAACATTGCAAAAAGTATACTTAAATTAGTGATATATACAAGATTAATTGAAGATGAATATAATTGAGTTTTTCTAATTTATTTTATTTAATAATTTAAATAAAAAATATTCTAGACTATAGGTTTAAAAAATTTACGATTAATTTTAGAAATCAGATTTAATTTTTTCAAAATATATTAATGATATATAAAATCTAAGATAATGCTAGTACATATAAATTTTAATAATTTATAACGCATAAAGGTAAAGTTGTTACACATTAGCATTATAAATTGTTATGTTAATAAAATAACTTCGATTTAAATTGGTTGGTTAATTAGTAAGTTAGTAAATTAAAGAGAAAATATTTCTTGATTAATTATTAAGATAATTATTTAATTAATTAAAAATAAGATTAATAAATTAATATTGTATAAAACTTAGATAACTTAGGTACATTTTTAACTTTATTAATTTATAATATATGACAAAAGAGAAGTTATATGTCAGTATTATAAATTGATATAATTATATTATTATTTTCTCATTTATATAAAAAATATAATTTACTATTCATGAAATAAAGAAAGATAAATCATAATTACAAAATTAAATCACATCTACATTCTACAAATATATAATAAATAAAATAAAAGATAATAATTTGAAAGGAAAAATAACTAACATGATAATTAAGACATAAATAAGAAAAAAAATATAAAAAAAATTGTTGAGAGAATGTATTGTTAATGTTAGAATGAATTTTACAAATAAACATATAACTCAAAGAAATAAGAATTATCATTATTTAGTGTAATTTAAATCACTTGCTACAAAAAAGAGAAAGGAAATAAAATTTATGGATTAAAAAGAATTAAATATTTGTATTAAAAAAGAGCAAAAAGGTCCAAATTTTAAAAGCTTTAGATTTGAGGGGTTGAGTTTTTAAGATAATTTTTTCTAATGAGAGACCATATATGGAAGGGATGAAAACAAGTTTGATGAAGGCTATAATTGAGTTGAGGAGGAGAAACTTTTATGGTTGAGAAAAAAAAGTTTTCATGGTTAGAAATGTGGGTTGAGGGAGAGGAAAAAGAAAAGTGGAGAGGAAAAATATTGTTCTTGGTGAAAGATGAGTTATGGAGAATGAACTTTCATATATAAGAATTATGAGTTGAGAGAGAGGAAAGGAAGTGGTGGAGAGAAAAATGGATAATTATACTTAATACATTATCGATTTTGATTGGTTCACTACTATTAGTCTTTTTTTTTTCCTTTTTAAAATAAACAGGAAAATGATTTATTTGTAATGCATGAATTAGATGTTTGGAAAGTAAATATTCTCTGCTATCAATCCTAGCATATTATTCTTCTATATCACAAACAGTATTTATATTCAAAGTACCAAATATCAATATTCTTAGTATTCTGATAAGGATCGGACCTCGCGCACTTGGTCTTCGGCAAAGAAACATCAGCTAACTAGCACTTATTCTTTTACACTATATTTTTACACTATCCAGTATACCGGCCCTTCAATGTATAATGTAAAAACAGTTTTGTTATGTAAATTGTTAAAAGTTGAAAAATACTAGGTGATGTTATATTCATAAAACAAATAAAAGAGACAACTAGTTATTTCTCAAAATTGTTCAAAATACATTTTTGGTGTAAAAAAATGAACAAAAAATGCTTTTAACAATAGGCTAAATCTTTGAAAGACCGTGAACTGATAAAACGCTTCTTTTTTTTTTTTTTTCCCTTTTTGTTACAATCAAAACGCATATTGAAAACAAAGAAATCACCACCCAATGTGCACCATAAAATATTCCACTCCATTTGATTTGAAATAATGTTGTTACATCGATCCATTGAATAACGCAAAGTGGATTTCTTTCTTTGGAATGGAGAAAACCCGATATGACGCACCAACCATGACCGCATAAAATACATCATCAACCACAGTAACACCTTTAGCATCTTATAAAAGAAGTGTTTCATATCCACATCCATTGAGCATAGCAAGACCAATTAATAGCTACAACACCAACAACAAACAACTAAACATGCCATACCTTCCTAGTAACCTATTTGGACCCCGATATGAACTACCACCAAATCACCACATTGGAAAACCATTGCAAGACCCTTTTGGACCTTTAACCACAATACGTTTACCTATCCCAGGAGAGACACCAATTGTTGTCAATAAAAACCTAGAATGGAAAGAAACACCTCTAGCTCATGTGTACAAGGCACACCTTCCTGGGCTAAGGCACAATGAAGTGAGAGTGGAAGTGGAAAATAATAGAGAGCTATGTATTAGTGGTGAAAAGTGGGTAGAGAGGGAAACAAGGAGCGGGAGGGGTCTCCTTGTGGAGCGTGTTAGAAGCCGTTTCATTCAGCGCTTGATGTTGCCTCAAAATTCCAATGTTCAACGTGTGAAGGCTTGGATGGAAAATAATGGTTTGCTAATTGTTTCTGTTCCTAAGTATTAAGTTCAGTAAGTTGTGAACTCTGGACACTCACTTTGAGATGTTTGGTAGTTTGTTAAAAAAAAATGTAAACACTACTATGTCCCTTTCCGTGCCAGTGTTAGTGGAAGAAACAGTTATGTGTATAAATAACTCAAGGTAAATATATGTCCTCTGCTTTCATGGTTCGAGCCAAACCATGTTTTCTATCAATGAATGATATTTAATGAAAATAATATTTCAATAAGAGAAATAGATCTTGATCGTATATATAATCATATGCACAATATCAAGTTTAAAAGTTATTTAATAATCACATTAGTGATTAAGATTAATACATCAAAGTCATGAATGATTACTTAATATTAAAAAGTTTCCCTTATATATATATATAACCAAAAGTTTGAGAGATTACCAACTATCTTCAAACACTTAAAATTTAATTACGAAGAATAGGAAATTGGTAAACCAACTCTAGTCATATTGCTTTGACTGATTGGGCCTTCAGAATTCTCAGTAAGCTTGAAGTTTTATAAACAGCTTTCACGGCAAAGACATGAAAAACCAGATATATGGCAGAATTGCTTATGCATAGATTGAATTAAAATTTATCCTCACAAGAAAAGCTCATCAACGACGTGCCTCCATATTGTGTGGAAGCGAATTAAGGACTTAAACTAGCTCTTGGTTCCACGTGATCTTAACGAAATATTCTGACTGAATTTGAAGAATTTTTTTTTTATTTTTTTAAATTTTTTTTTTATCTTCTTCATATGCATATCTAACACAGTAACACTCTTGCAAAAATCCTTAGTCCTTTGATTTTAGGAAAGTTTCTTTTATCTCTTGACCCCCAAACTGTTCGGGGTTAGGACTGAGGGACAGTTATCAAACCAGAAACAAATAACCCGCCTGAATAGAAATTCAACACACTAACTTTAAATACATAATGATATATTAAAGGAGACATTAGTGATTGGTAAGAGTAAAAGTAGACAATAATGTCATACTAATTACACCTACAATATCAAAGTTTGAAATTTAGAATCATTATTCTGAAGCGGTCATTTGTTAACCACCTCCTACTTGAGACTAAATATTTTTGAGTCGCTAAATACTTGCTCGCTAATAATTAGCAATTGATTTTAAAGTTTGATTTTAGTAATTGACCTATAGATTAATTTTAGTTGTTAAATAGTAAATTTCTTGTAAGTAAACCTTGTCTTTAATTTAATGAAAACTTATTTTAGTTTGTAACTTGTTTTGAAACCAGAAAATGTCATAAAGGGGTAGGCTCATGGACGCTCAATCTGTAAGGATGAACTAGACAAGCGTAATAGGTGCTTTTATGGGGAAATGAATTTACCCCATCTCTCAAAATGCCTCATTTCTGTAGAAGGTTGTTCAATGTCTCGAGATGTAGGGTAGGGTTAAGAGCAATTGCTACCTCCTTTCCAAGGTGTAGAATGCCCTTACTAGTAAAGCACGCTTGAAAGCCCTCCAAGCCAAATGCTGCCTATGAGTTCCCGTTTAGTAGAACACTCTTTCTGCTTCATTTGAGTGTCATTCTTTTGTTCAAACGTGCCAAAGAGTGCTCGTTCGAATATGCTCCTTTATGCTTTGAAGCATCTCTAGATTACGAATTTGCATCTTTCATTTCCATGTTGCGCTTTAGGTTTGTGAACTTAGGGAGCGCACTTGTGAAAAGGTCTTTTTGAAAAGGGATCCTCCGTTCTTTTATAATTCTTTGGAGAAAATTATCAAAACGTCAAAGAGAAAAAAAAGCTCTTGAAGTAATAAAAATATCAAAGAAGAAGAAGAGGTTTCTTAAATTTGGGAGAGAAGTAACCCCTTAGCCTTTCATCATTTCTCCTTTTTATAGTATACATTTTCTTGTTTCCCAATTAGTATATTTCCTTGTTCTCCAAGTAGCTCACTTCCAATTTTGTCCTTGATGTTTTATTTGGTTCCAAACATAACTTTTTCAAATATATTTTAAGTTAGTCCTACATTAAACTAACATTAGTAAAATCTAGTGAGATTATTTACCTGTCATGTTAAGTTTTAATATCTCACGTTAATTGATATGTCAAATCCTAAAAAAATACCTTAAAAGAGTTTTTAAATTTTTCCTCCTAAAACATTTTAATGTTATCATCTTTTCTCGCATCTGTTCTAACTCTGATGATGTTTAATGACTAACTTCTAATAGTGGCTCTAATCACCATTAACTATATTAAGTTGGTATTATAATGTGACATTGGAACACTTTTGTTAAATGTTTTTATATTTATAAAAAATAAGGATTAATGTGATAGATCACTATTAAAATCACATGAATTATAGAAAAATTTATAGATGAATTTTTGAAAGATTATCAATAGATTTCATTATTATAGACGGGTTAGAGTTATTCATAATTTTTTCGTTGGTAAATTAATATATATAAAGTTTTAAATTCATATGTAAATTATATGCAAATTTACAAATATTTTTTCACTTATATATTACAAATGAATTTTTTTCATCTGTAACTCAAAAATAGATTTCTTTGTTCGAAATTTACAGACAAAAAACTTCATCTATAATATTACAGACAAAAAAATATGTCTGTAATATTTAATTTAATTTTAGTTTTATTTTGTTTACTTGAATAATTATTTCTTATGTTCTTAATTACCATAACTTGTAAACATAAAGAAAATTTAAAATTCTAAAATATTAAATTAAAATGTCATTACATTTAAAGTTATAATGTAAACAATAAAATAAAAATGTCTATCACGAGTTCTCAGCATGATTCTCATCAGTAACTATATCATCATCAGTAGAGGTGGAGGAATGTCACCTCAAGCTAAATACTGCTGGTGCTGGAGCTGATGGAAGAGGAGAAAAAGGTGTGGAGTTACTTATTGTCATAAACTCAAGTATGCATGCATTTGTTGCTGCACCTCTCTATGCACCCCAATGCCATCTTTGTCTCTATCTTCTTCTCCATTTTCTTGTCTCACTTCTTCTATACACTCTCCTTGGTCTTCCACATCGCTTCATTTTGCTTTTGGAACTTTCCATTTATGGCATGGACTTGAGTGCAGATCATGTCCTCCACCTCCTTATGCACAAGAGAAGGGGTAAGTTTGGTGACAAACGCAGGGGACATCGAGTTTTCAAAGTGACCTATCATGCCATAAAATGCGGCCTTTATAAAGGTTGCTCATCATCTCTAACCATGTAGTGTTCTCATCAACAGAATTTAGGTTTTGAGAAGATGCAGCCAGAAGCCTTGAACATAGTCATCCTATAATTTAATGCAGATAATTATATATTAAGCTCAAGAAATATTTTTAAATATGACTAGGGGATAGGCATAGAGGTCCTTCCCCGAATTATTTGTATTGTTTGTTGTGGGATTGTTTATATTTATAGAGATTCACTAATCTAGAAAGGAAATATGAGAGCGGTTCTGTTTTAAATTAAAGAATGTTTAGAACTGCTCTAAAATATCGTGCTATCCAATGTGTTGCATTTAAGAGAGCGATTAAACAACAACTCTCAAATGTTAAGATTAGAGAGCAATTCCATGCAAAACTGCCCTCCAAAGCATGGGTATAAGATTAGAGAGCAATTGCATGCGTAATCACTGTTTAAAGTATGAGTGTAAATCGCGAATCTAAAATTTAAAATTTATTTCTTTGTGAGTTTTTTGTTGCAAACTAAAATTAATTTATTGTTATGTTTAAATTGTAATTTATAGGTTTAATATTCAAAATTTCTTCATTTTTATCACAAATTAAAATTGAATCTTGTGTTTATACGTTGTGTTTAACTGAACAGTCTACATTTGCATGAGAGAATGGATGATTCACTGTTAATAAAAAGAAAAAGAAAGAAAGAGAGAATGAAGAGAAATATGAAAAAAGTATCAACAAATGTGAAAAAATACCAATTTATTAGTGCAATGAAGATGAAGAGAGCAAAAAAGACGAAGAGAACCTATAGAGTGAGAGAGACCATAAACACAAACTTTGTTAATATTGAAAAGACAAAAATAATGTACAGAAGTAAGAGAGACTAACTTTATTAGTAAGACGAAAAAATTCATGAGTTGAACGTGTTTTATTTATAAAAGTTAAAGAATTTGGAGAGCGATTTTTTGTTAACCGCTCTCCAAGAATGACTTTAGAGAACAATTTTTTATTAACTGCTCTTTAATGTGTAACTTTAATTGTTTTCAGAAGTATAGATCTGAAAATGATTCAACACTAACAGCTATTTAAATGTATTGTTACAAAGCGGTTTCTACTAACAACTGTCTAAGTTAGCGCTCTAACAACTCGTTTCTAGCTTAGTGTAACATATTTTTTAAAAATATTTTTATTATGGGTTAAAATTTAGTAAAAACTAAAAGAATGTAAAAGAGAAACATTAATTAATTTAAGAGTGAGAATGAATGACACTCACATAATTTTAATTGATATAATTTTCCTAAAGAGTTGTGCTTCTAATAATTTAAGCTTTTGACATACTTCCTCCAGTTCAACATTCTATATGGATGCACAAGGAAGTGAATATATATACAAGGAGATGATGATCATTCTATACTTTTTCTTGAAAAAAAAAAAACCCGTTAAATATAGATTTAAAAATTGTTGCATATCCTGACAGCATAGAATGAAGATTTGGATAAAAAAGAGAAATATAAAAGTAGTGAAAGATATGTTAAAAATTTGTGTTCCAAATTTTTTTTTGACTTTGGCATTACAGATGGCAGCATATTTTATCGTTGTTTAGTTTTTATCGCAAGCTTTTTTATAAACATAATGTGTATTTCCCTTTATCCATTGAAATGCTTTTTAATTATTATTAACTTGTTAAATAATTTATCTCTTATTTTGATAATTTCTTGTGTTTCTATGTCGTTGCTATTTAGGCAAGCCAAGTTTTTTAATTGGGTTCTCTTGGTCAATTCAGGCTATTTGCTCCCACGAAAATGTGCTACAACCAATTTTGGAGATTGAAAAGGG